CTTATATCTCTACTTCACTTTTCTGCTAATTTCCCAGCCATATTCCCTTGTTCCTTTCCTTCCAGCTATAGGGAGAATGTAACCCCAAAGGAATATTATTTGTGGAAATAAAAAACTGTTCAGTGTCTCCCATGTATGTTTAACTGTGATATCCTACAGCTTTCTCTACCTATCAACAGAGAGCCTTCTGAATTTTCATAAGACAAAATCAAACTGATCTCATCATAAGTTTAATGGATAGCATGACATTAGAAGGCCCAAGAGATGGGCACATGTTCTTTACAAGGAAAAGCTAAATCATTTGGGACTCTTAAGACTTAACTCTCCACTGGGCAACTTTACTATGTAAGAAAACCACCTGATGATTCAACACCAAATGGAATGTATTAATTGCTTCTGTTGTAAATTAGCATCCCTTATGTCTGAATAATGTGAGCATTTTCTAACTGATGTTTGTGATCCATCATGGCTCACGCACACATGAAAGTCACTCTTTGATCTTTCAAGAAAAGATTTGAGTTATTTTCCATATTTCACATCTTAGTAAATATCATCTACAGCTGCAGTTCAAAATTTATTCTGGATCAGTATCTAGAACTGGATGGGGATGCAGCATTCCCTGGACTGCATTTCTAACCATGTTGCTCTGAAAACTTCCATATTTCTTTGTAAACAAACTGTAAAAGGCTTGTTGTTTTTAAATGTCCTTAATAGCAGCATCAATAATACTTGATTTTCCAGAAATAGGTGTTTTGTTCTTCCCAAAGGGAATTAAGTAGCAACAGAACTCTTTTCTATGGTATCACATTTCTTTACAATGGAAAGAATATCCCCCAAAATAGTATTTGATGCACTTCTAAAACATGCTTGCCACAAATACATCAGCAGTGCTATTTCTGCACCAAGCACCCAATATGTAGAAACTTTCAGTGACAATGGAAATTTCTTAGAAGAGGGGGAAAAAACTAAAGCTGTTGCCAGTCTTATTAATTTTTCTTGATCAAAGGGATGATTTTCATAGTTCAATGAGATCTAAGTGAGGAAATAGCGGTAAAACCAGCCCCAGCCTTAATCTTCAAAGATCCGTTAATGTTACCCTTTTAGTTCCTTAATAACATCAGAGCCATCCAAATTCCCCATTGGTTCATTTGCTCTTACAGCCAGCTAGCTTGCTTGCTTTTTATAGCACATCCTGCACAACTCTTCAGATAAATGTGTTGTGATGGCCATCTTCCTTTATCTACTGATGATAGTCTTGATAAATTTTCAGAGAACAACACAGAGAGAGTTGAAAGGATGACAGGAAAGACAACTATTCAGTTCAACATCCCCTTACCATTAAACAAGCCTAACCATGCCCTAATTACACATGCAGGTTGATAAACCATTGACTTTTTTTGTAGAAGTGTTGTCACTAAGCTATTCACCAACTCCAAGGTTTCTTCCCTGGTCAGTCATGGTCAACTCAGGTCTCAGGAACATGTAGGTGAAGTTAGGGATCTTTTTGCACCAATATGGGTCACTCTGCACTTGCTTACATTGAATGGCATTTGCCATTGTACTGTCCATTCTCTTTTTATGTTATGTCTGATTGTGAATGACCACAAATCATAAGGATTTTCAAAGGGTGTTCAACTGATAGCCTCTTGCAGTAAAAACACCGAAGTGTCTTGTGGAACCTTATGGTTCCTACACATCAGCTGGGTTCACATAGCATGACAAACAACCCTGCATGGTCTCTGTGTGCAGATTTTTGCCTGGATATGCCAGACAGACAATTAAATGGTTTTTACATCCGCATAGCTTCCACTCCCCCTACTCAATCTCCCCACTGATATGTATTGCATCACCAGAACATCTCAAATTCAGTCCCATGTTGGATGGCTGGACCAGTCTCTGAAGTCCATGCTGACACATGGAAACCATAGAATAGATTGTTGTTGTAGTTTTTAAAAAACCAACATACCATGCTGAGATGCCACGACAGAGTTCAGATGACGAGTTCAGATGACTCCACAGATGATCCTGTGTAAGAAATCGCTCTGCTTTTTGTCATGCCATCAAACCAACTTTTGCCTCCCCATGTTTGCTTCTCAGTTTATCAGTGCATTTGTATGCTAAGATTAGTTTTAAACATGAACTTTTATGTCTTCTGTTTACAGGCTATACTTACTTTACATTTATGTTTTCAAAATAGCTCATTTGTATAATATTGGTGTCTAATGCCACATACATAGCTTGTAGACAGTTGCAAATTTTTGTAGTCCAAAAATGAATGTTTTGCTATCTGGGTCTCTGTTGAAAAGAGATATGCTTGACCGAAGCCATTCAGTGTTCTGCTGTTAATCACTGTATTATATAAAATTCCTTTTCTTTCGCATATTTAAAAATAGGTTCAATTAGAACATTTGCATCTCAGTTTCAGACAAAAAAAGTTGTTCTTAATTGGAGTTCAAATCCTATTTCTAATTCCTGTTAAATTTTTGACAAGCTATAAACTATTTGTCTCAGAAACTCATGTAGAAAAACAGTCATATGCATTCTTTATAAATGACTGCCAGAAGAAAAAAATCCTTCTGGGATTTAACTCTTGCTCTAAATAATTGCAAGCTCTCTATTACAAGGTTGCAGCATTTCTCTCCAGTATGAACTGGGACCTGCTCAAGAAGAAAGTCTACAAGTCCTGGTAGGGAATCTATGAGTCACTCTTAGAACTGGAAAGGATGAAAGACTATAGATCTCACTCTTTGTCAATGAAGGAATAATTTGCAGTTTGGAAGTGGAAAGAGGAGTCTCAGAACAATTCTTCTCCTTCCTTTGTAAAATTTCTATGACTTTTTTCCCATTGACTACAGTAGGAGGAAAAGTATTATGTTATAGCATTAGCCCATTATTTAGCATGTGCTCGGGGACGCAGACAAGGAGGCTTTCACTCTACTAGATCTGGGCATGCCCCCGACACATGCAAATCTTCCCCATGCTTCTGGCAAACACGTGGCTGGTGGGACATTTACACTGCCAGATTCTCTCTGCCTAGGCTTTTGTTGTCATGATGAAAGCAAAGCAAGAAAAAGCAAAGCATAGAAAAGCAAAGATGGAGGCTGAATGGCTGAAAGCATTATTTTGTGTTATATTTAGTGTGATATCTGTGATGGTCCCTTTGAAACATGCAGATATTGCAGTACTCAAGGGACAACCATGCATCTGTGATCCAGCAATCAGAAAATGGGGGGAAAGCATTGTGCAGGCTATTGAGCCTGTCCACCACCTAGTTAAACCTGTCAGTCATCTAGAAAATCCAATGATTTATGAACTGGATCCATACTGATACCTCTCTGCTGTTTGCTTTTTTTCTCTGATGCCTCCATTGCTATCCACTGTTAACCGAGTTTGGATTTTCTATTTGGCAAAAAGCAAAAACACATCACTCAGCTTCTGAGCTTGTTAACTACTTTGGCTTATGCTCTGCAAAAGATTGTTTATTCTAACTGCTATTATTTAGAACATTCTTCCTAAGCCTTGTGCCCTGCAGAAGGTTTGGACCAAAATCCCCCCCTTTCCTGACTATTGACCATGTCATACTGGCTGAAATTGATGGTAGCTGAAGTATAAAAAATCTAGAGAGCACCAGGTTGGGAAGGGTTGGTTTAGAGCATTCCTGTAGGCAGTATCTAAGGGTTTATTTCTATTTGATATTATGACTTGCCTGCAAAGAACATTGTGTGATGAATTGAGTTGGTCTCTTTAATATATTTTCTGCCTCTGTGACCAGGAAAGGTGGAGAAATAAAAGCTACCTTGTTTCCTTGTGAACTTTCACAGCCCAAATAAAATGTCAGCATCAGGTGTCCACTGGGAAATCTTAAAAGAGTCAGAGTAAGATGTGGACAAGGTTTACATCTTCAGAAGGACACTGGCATATCTGAAATAATAAGCACAAAAGTGAAGGTTGTCTGACTTTTTTCATGAAGGAGGCAACATAGGGCAATGTGAGGGGCCTCCATCAATTTATTATGTAGAATCTCATGGATAAATAATACCGGTTAGGAGCTTCTCAGCAGCCACTGAAAAATGTGTATACAGCTTCACATTCATTGCTCATCTGCCAGTTTACATTTAATGCGATTTAATACAAGGTCTTCTTGAAACTGAAACTTGTAAACCGTGAGGTTATATGTGCCTTCTCTCTTTGCATGCAGTAGAGTCAATTGTTTCATAATTACATTGTCACTGGAAATGCAGTCAGTGGCATCACTGCCTGGTCCCATTACTGATTTTCTTTCATGTTGCTACTGTTCACAACGCTTTTTCATTGGTCTCACCATGGATTTGATTGGCTTGTAAAAGAGGATTTAAGCAGAAATTACTCAAGAAAACTTTTTCCTAAGGTTGTTGGGCGCACTGTATTTTCCCAAGATAGTTGCAAGACATTTACCAATTCAACAGTTCTAATTTAACCTTTGCCAATTCTATTATCTGAATGGAAGGGAAGCTGAGTGCTCATATTTCTGTCCAAATTCATTCAGGTTTGCTGCCATGGATCTCTTTGCTCCAGCTCTGTTCAGAGAAAGGTGAAATTATACCACGTTATATGGCTGCACTTTGTTCTAAGAAAAGTGTGGATGGTTTGCAGGAGAAGGTTAGGACTTACTACCACTGATCTTATAATTAAAAAAAAACCCAGAAGGACCTGTACAAGTAGTCGACTTACCTTCCACTTTGCCTTTAGCCCTGATTGAAACATTATATACAAAGATAATAGCTTGCCTGCAAAGAATGGTCAGAAGGCCTGGGTCAGAAACAGATCTAAGAAAAGATGTCATACATTGGATGAGTGGCAGAGTTTTCTCGCCTTCAGATATCACACTCCTTTTCTTACTACACTGTTTTAAGTCAAGAAGAGTGCTTTGGGAAAGTTGATGTACTTTTTGAACATACAGTTTCTTTGTGATTTGGAGCTGTTAAAATGGACCCTCCCTCTCCTTCCTTTCTCCCTTGCAGGTCACAGCCTCGGCTCAATGAAGGTGGCTCGTGCACAGACATTTCCCAGCTACACCTCAGAGCAGGGTGAGGAGCATGAGCCGCACCTGTCCCTGTCTAGCAGCTATGGATTCAGCTACAGCTCAGGCCTCATCCAATGACACATGTCTTGTGTCTGAGCAGAAAGACAGTCTAGTGTGGAACCTGCCTGCAGTTCCTGGAAGCCACGTCCTTTCATATGTGTTCAGAGAAGACAATCCATAGTAAAACAAAGGACATAAGTCTCCAGGCTGGCAACAGTGAAGGTGAAAGCTTGGATCACTGCTTCCCCAAGGCAGAATCTAAGTCTCTTATTTATTTAAATTTTAATATTTGATTTTGACCATTTTTTAAAGGAGAAATAAAAAAAGAATTCCCCCTGATGCTGTGCAGATTTCTCCACAACCTAACCCACAATCTGCTGTGGGAGGTTGAGCATAATATTGCATTTTCAGTGTGAGGCTAGTCAAGTTTGATCATCCACGGCAGTAACCACCTTTATGTCCAAAGCATCAACCTTCCAGCTGGGCTCCTTCTTACAGAAATGTTAGCAGATGAAAAAAGCTGTAAAATGCACTCTGGAAGGACAGTTGCAATCCTATCACCAGTTATGCACAGTTTAGCCCCATTGGTCTCAAGTGGAAATTATGCATGAATAACTTTAGGACTGTAGGCTAGAACTACAGTTCTGAGAAAGACTTGTTGACTATCTGATTCTCATCACTACAGTTAATATACAAGATAGATACATAGATAGATACTGTCAATGGGATGGCATGGCAATGCTTAGTAGCCTTGCAGAAATTAGATTGTTTTGTGTATAAAGAAGTCATTTGCCTAGAATATTCCCCACACTGGATTTGTATGCCCAGATTCTGCTCTTATTTGCATTCTGCACCTAAAAATTCACAGCCTCCCATTGGGAACAGTGATCATGAATTTCAAGGGAAGACTGTGCCTTAAGGCATTGTCAAAGTCTTCCCATTGTAGATAATACTTAAATTGTGAAGTCTGAATTTATACTCAGTATACTTCTAACTTTGTATACTGCATAGGTGAGAATTGATGCCACATTGCTGGATGGAAGACTCATGGGCCATAGTCTTATAGAACAAGATGCTTGACTGGTAGAATAAGTATATTTCCAAATTCAGCTCTTATTGTTGGTCTAGTAGCTAACAATATGGATCTGTTTTTGTCAATGATTTGTTTGTTTGTTTGTTTGTTCTGGGTTTCTTTTCCCAATGTCTAATGAAGCTACATCTTAGATCTTATGTACAGCCATAGATGAGTCCCAATTAAATTTCACATTAATATATCTCCTTGTTCTGTTGACCTTCTAACAGACCTCTTACAAAAGACAACCACATGAATCTGAGTTGTACACAGCTGATACTTGAATCCTGTTGAACTCTTATTGGCTCATGGTGCCAAAGGGTTGTAGTTCTTTCCCAAAGCCGAACAGAAAAAATGAATGGTAGCATGAAAGGTGGGTGGGTGGGAGGGGAAGAGAAGAAATAAATGCTAGGGAGCAGTATATCCTCAAGAAATGCTGTAGCCCAACACATTCCATGGCAATGCACGCTTTGGGGGAAATTCTATTTATTCAACTCTGTATCAAATAATATTGCCTTTTGCCATTGTGTAGGAATTTCAAATATTGTGACAAACCTGGCCATAATTGGATCCATATCTGCTGTCTATAAATAACTGCTTTTTGAAATTTATAAGGTGCTTTTCCAGTGAGCCTGCCATCCAAAAAATAAAGCAATTAGATAATAAGGCAGCAAAAAAGAGCAACATGGTAAAACACCATCCACAATAGCTAAATGCCATCCATCATTCAGGCTGTAAAACTATTCCAAACTGAAAGCCTGCTTAAACAGGAAGAGACTTGGTCTATAACTTGGAAGGCCCTGTGTGTGTGTGTGTGTGTGTGTGTGTGCGCGCGCGCGTGTTTTAATTAAATAATCATGATTTTACCTGTTTTTCAAGCATGTTCCCAGGTCACCTTATAAAGACACAAGAACCAGCTGCAGGAAGTCACAAGACCCAAAACCAGGAATTAAAAACAACACGAAAATGCCCTGCAAAACCCAGTAAAATTCCTGGAGAAATAAAAGGGTGCCAACATGGGTGCTGCCAGGCCTTCAGGAAGAGCACTCCAAACCCAGAGTACCTCCACTGAGATTACCTACTCTGCTCAGATGGCAAAGGGGTACCAAGGAGGTTCTCCTAAAGGGACTTTATTGCCTAGCTTCACATAAGGAGACAGGGTTACCTGGTCCCAGGCTGAACGATGCAAAATAAAGCCCAATGTAACTGGACTGGTGTATCCACCAACCATTTTTGGAAGGATAAGGGATGTAGAACAGGGTCCCCTATCTGTTTTTAAGGGCAAGCAGGATTATTCATATTCCAATTCATTGAGGCTTGAGTGGTGCTAAGCAGCACTTTGGTCTGCTTTGTTTCTGAACCCCACTCAGAATGGAAGTACATACTCCAAATAACAGGCACCTGCCAGTGATCTTGCAGCAGCATTCAGCACCCACTGCAGTTTCGGAACTGCAGGCACTCGATCATTTAAAGAACATTCTGAAAATTTAAAAGGATCCCCTTTCAGCCCTTTCTCACAATCCAGTTCCATGGGATCTCCACTGCTAGATGCTCCCCATAAAAAAGTAGCAGTATTCAACCTACGTTGGGATATGAACAAATGAATCCCCTTGTAACTTAACTAAGATCAACTCCGAAACTGTTTGAATTGCAGGATTCAGCTCTATAAAGCTGACTTGCACCTTGGCTTGCATGCGGTATCTGCAATCCACTGCCTGCCATGAGGGCTTTTCCCGTGGAAGATCCCGGGCTTGCTTTGCACAGGTCTGCCTTCTCCGATTGGTCGCCCATTCCACAGGGTCCCCTGACCTCCTGTGCAGCACTTTTCAGAGCACTGGAAGAGAGATGGGACTGCCATGGGGATGAGAAGGTGGGGAAGTCCTCTTCCGCAAGTCCAGTTGTTCGTAGCTGCACCTGGACCTGTCACTTACAGCTACATTATGCACCTCTGAGCATGTGCAATTCAAAATCAGGCTTCAGGATGTCACTGTTAGAGGAAGACCTGAGCTAATAATCATATAGACTTAAGAGACAGAAACTTACATGTTAAGTGCTTTTTCTGTTGAAGGGATTTACATGAAGCCCACTTCAGTCAAATGAGATGTTAAAAATCAGTCTGGATACAACAAAAACCTAAAAGTAAATATGAAAAAGGAATCATTCAGCCCTGCATCCCTCCATCTTGCTAAAGGTCATTATACTGAATATGTAGAGAACCATCTTCGTAAAAACAAAAGTGAGAAGGAAAGAAAATTCACTGCAAACAGACTGTTTCCTGCCTTTCATCACTTTATCAGGCCAGCACAGGAAAGAAAAGAGGCAGAGTCTGTTCCCTCTCCCCACTGCACCCACAAGACCAAGTTTGATCTGTTGCAAATTGAAGGATGGAAGAAAAGTCTTTTTTTATATAAATGGTGTGAAAGAAATGGCTGCTTTGATTAAACATTTAGCGATACTTTAGGGTGGGAGGGTTTTCTTCCCCGGCCATTCCTGCAGTCTAATAGATTGCAGGCTCCTACACCTCAGTGAGCAGCTGCTGAATGAAGCTGCCCTGTGATCTAATGGAATTAATCACCCCACCCCTGCCTGTGTCATTTACTTTTCCTTTATCTCACTCAGTGTTTCCACTGCCCAGAATACACCACTTCCTTTGCAGAGCCATGAAGAGCAACCCATTGCCACGTCGCAAAATTACTTATTCCTGGTTGTTGCCAAAGTGCAACAACCAGCAAGGGATGCCATTTTTGGGGAGCTAGCTGCATCTGTCAGTTTAAATATCAGATCACAGGCTTACCTGGCATACAGGTTCCAGAATATTCTGTGTATGAGACCAGATCTACAACAGCCTGATGCTTGCATTATCTTAATCCTCCTATGCAGGAAAACTCCCCGTATTTTAACTAATGCCATTATTAGCGAATACAGAGAGGTTATACATGTTGTGTATTAATTTGGCTGCTTTGGAGTAAGTGCTACAAGTAGTTAATCACTGCATGTTTATTAAAGTTTGTGTATATTAGCATTCCTTTAATTAAAAAGGAATCTAACCATGCCCCCATATTAAAAATGATTTTGCATTCCAGAAATAGGAGTAGCCATGCATGTTATACTTGCATTCCAGTAATTCCAAATTGTTGCTATTTCTTCCACTGCTAGCAGCCAAGCAGGGTTTATTAGCAAAAGAAAAGCTACCCATTATACTGTACTTGGTGTACTGATGCAGCATATTGGGTACACTAATTCAGAAGAGTCAGTACTGCAGTCCTAACTCTGTCTGCTCAGAAGCTGGTTCTGTTAAGTTCAGCGAGGCTTGGTCCTTTGTAACTATGCTTGGAATTGCAGTCTAGAATTATATTGCATAAATTATGCAAAAATATATCCATGTTTAGGCAGATGTACAGTTCCCAACACACCTGGCAGTACAGCTGGGAGTTATAGGCCTTTTATCTGTTTAAACATGCATAGGATTGTACCCTAGGTCTGTGCAATTCTGCCTGTCTACCCCCTGCTCATACATAAGGTTAAAGTAGCTCCAGATTAGGAAAAGGAAATTTCAGCTACAATCTAGCAAAGAAAAACAACAACCATGAAGCAGGAGGAGGAAGAGAAAAAAAAAAAAGCATAAATAGCACCAATGCAAAGTTATTCACCAATGTGTGTGCGTGCATACCAGCTCTGCAGAAATGTTTTAACTATTAGTCATAGTATATCTCATAGAAGAGACATTTCATAAAGTAACTGTGTGCAAGTATTTGTTTCCAATAAAGACATTCTTTGGTTGTCTTATGTGTGCAGTATCTTAAAGACTACAAGGCCTTGGAAGAATGTGTTCAAGTATTCAAGATGAATGTACTGCAAAAGAAAACAGAACATGTGCACCAGGATCTAATGTGTAGGACAAATAAGATAAAGTAAAAGCACAAATCGCAGCTATCTTTAGCATGAATCTTGGCATTTTGATCTGAGGCTTCTATAATGCACAACACTGCATGTCTAATGCAATTTTGCAATTTGCCATATCCCCAAGTGAGTAACGATTCTTCCACTGCAAGTAGTTTGCCGGACCAGCTGATCAAGCCCCAGTTTCATAGATACAGCCACAGGGATGCACCACTGCAATGTTTTGTACTTATCTGCAAGCCTGTTCCTGATATCAGCACAACTGCTTCTATTGATATCATAAAACCAAATTGTTATTCCAACATGTGGAAGTAGATAAATACAAACACAGTCCATCTATAACATAAAATATAAAACATCACTGAAATCTGCAAGTGATGACGTTTCCCAATTTCTTGTCAATGACACATAAGATCCTGTGCTGTGTAGAATTCACCTCTGTATTCCAGATTTAGGCTGCAGTCTGGGAATAAACCTTGTTGCATGGTGGCGGCTGAGTAGCCATGCACAGGGTTGCACTGCAAATGACTCAACAGACTGGAGGCTGTTAGAACAGCTTATGTCCAGATGGCTGGATTTTCCACTCTTCCTTCACCTCAGAGGCCAGACCTTATTTTCATCAAAAATAAGAGCAATCCCAATAAAAGCATATATATATATATATATGGCTATAAATGAGAGTAAGGGATAATTTACTTTGTAAAGTAAGCCACAAATTAATTTAAAGACATTGCTACAAACCACATCCTTTTTTCTTCTTGTTTACTCCAAATTATGTGTAGGGTACTGTGTACCTTGCAGAACGTTACACGTTTTGGGTAATATAACTTGCAGGCACAGAGCCCCTGATATAGATCAGGAGCACAGTGAGGACGAAGTCATAAAACCAATTTAGTCCACCCACATCAGGTCCCCAGTGCGTACATTTGAGTAAAAACATAGTTATTAGCTATGACCGCAAAGCAACATACAGCCTGTGTCTAATTTGTTTCATTTCATTTATTTATAAAGTCACAGGATTGTTGGTGTGGCAAAAGGATTTGGAATGGAATATAATCTGAATGGACTATAATAAAAAGCTAGGACCAATAGTTATTCAGGTTGAACTAAAGTTAAAATGTGTGCTTTTCTCTGTACTATAAAGTGTGACTGCTGGACATTTGGTAGATAAATCACTTCTTACCTCTTTGCCTTGCCTGATTTTGCTGTTTAACCACTTAGCCCAGTGGTTAAAATGCAAATCATCCTCCCCCCCATTTTTTTCTTCCAGTCTTCTTGTGTTCCTGTTCATTTCTGAGGTCCTAAGAGAAAGCTATGAACAATGTGGTCATCAATGAGCTCCCCCCTCTCCTTTCTCCATGTTAGTTTGCTTCTTTAATCATTTATTTATGTTTGGTGAAGGTCTGGGTGGTTCCTTCCCTTTTAGTGAACTTCATTTGAAGAGTCAGATTCTCTTAGAACCCCATTTTTAGCATAGCTAATTATTTTGGGGGAAAACAGTAGTCCGTACATACTTCTTGGAGAGACAAACTTCACTTGTATCATGGATAATAAGTAATTTAATGTGTGTGGGACAGAGGTGGTTTTTAATGGTTTTAAAACGGCATTCAGCTGCTGTTCACCGATGCTCTCTTTTGACTGAATGGTACATTTACTGTTGTTTCTTGTTCTATTAATGGAAAGAATTAAGTACAATGCTCTTCTGCGCTGTGTGATGTGATGATCCAGTTTTCCCTGTGAACCAAAGCATTTATGAAATTTGAATTAAACCAGTTAAACAAATACCAAGTTTTGCTCTGTGATTCCACCACAATCCCCAGATCAGACATTGGGACAAAACAACACTGAAGCATCTGAGATACAAAGAATGTTCACTAGGTGCAGAACAGAATGATTTAAGAAACACAAAAGCAATTGAAGCCCAATGTAATTCATTACATCCTCTGTTTGACAATATGCACACTTTCTTCCAATGGAAAATTCTCTTACTATCAGAATCAAAAATATTGAGTATCATGAGTGTTCCAATTGGGTAGCACACAAATTAGTAGTCATAACTTCTTATGAAGGGCAACAGGAAGTGCAAATATCCATCTAGGAAATGATCACTGTCCCATCTGTAAACAAGACACGGCATTGTTGGGCTGTGCTGCAAAGGTAAACAGACTGGCAGCTCAAAGGAAGCTGTAAAGATCCAAGCTGTGTCAGCACAAACTGGGAAGCCCATCTGCAGGGACTTGGGTGACTCTGCGGGATCCATTTCATCCAGGCCCTACATGCTATCTGCATGCTTAGGATTTGATCTCCTAAGTACAAGAATCCAAACCAAGGGTGCAGCTTTGGGACCATGGCAGGTCTGCCCTCACTTGAGGGGAAAGATAAATGTGATTTAAATCTTACATTATGTAGATGTTTATTGGAGGAAATAAAGACAATAGCATGCACTTCCTTCACTGTTTAAATTTATGAAAAACAAACCAAGGTGCTAATAACTGTTGACAACAAATACATTTTAGCAACCAAAGGACTGAGCACGATGTGGTGACAGTACTCATATACTTTTAAGCCACTAAACTTGCCAAATGTTGTGTTTGAAAATGACACCCATTCATTCTTAATAAAGAACTTCAGAAATGGAAATATTTCCATGGAAACTGGCAAAGTAATGGAAAATGTTCAAGCCCACAGCACTGTGTCTAGCATGGAAGTGGGTGTGTGGGGAACTCCACATTGGTACGCATGGAGAGCCCTGTGCAGTATAATGAGCTAGATCAGAGCCATTGTGTTGGCGTTTCAACAGTATTTAGCAGCAGAAACTCCTGTACATAGCTCAGTAGTGCAGTGGGTTTTCTTCTGCTTCCCCATTTAAGATGAATTGATAATAATGTGATCAACCCATTACAGTAGTAATATGGATCATGTGCCAAAACAGTTCTATTTCCTGAGTTCTTTGACTGATAACCCCTCTCCCCATAAAATTTGTTTAAGAGGCCACAACTGCCAGAAAAGATGGTTTCTAATCATATTATGATTAGGTGAACGTTTAAACACTTCAAATAAGCATAAGTTTGCTGTTTTCTTGCTTGTGACAGGTTTTGAAGTTCCTTAATCTTGTGGTTCTTTTTGATGTCACTGAAATATAAGACATTGTCTTGCACAATGCCACAGTTGCAAGACTAAATAGCTAGAAAAGCATTCCTGCAACTCAAAACAATATTGCCTTTTGGAGGCTGTAACTAAAATACTCATTTAGTTGCAAGCAGCTAACCTCATGTCATCTTTTACACAAACCAAAAGAGCTAAGGTTTAATAACGTAAGTCATCATGTTTGAGAAAGAAATAACTCTTGAGAAGAAAGTAACAACAGTTATTGGTAAATTAACTCTGTCTAATGTGTTCTGAAAATAAGATTACCATCTCATTTGCAGAAAGAACCTGAGAAATCCAAAACATTATGGTAAAGAGTAGATCCAACTCTAACACACCAACGTCAACATGGAACACCCATCAGATTGCACCCATGTGAATCCCAAGTCTGAACTGATTCTAACAAAGAAAATACCAGTCTTTCCTGGCCCCTTCTTTTCCAGACTCTAACTCGTTGAAAGCGGACTGGGCCAAACTGGCTCTAATAACTTCTGTCCTGTGGGCACGAATACAGTCATGACAATAGAAACTAAGTAGATCATTGTAGCACCAAGTTCATTCCGAGTGTCTATATCCAGTGCTATATGTATTTTGCAGTTCCATGGAAATGCTCAAAAGACGTTAAAAAAATGGCAAGAGGAGAAAGAGGGAAAACCTGTTGCCTTCAGAGGTCTTTATTTTTAAAAACAAGTCTAGCTCTCGATGTGGTACGCTTGAATCTGCACAGACAATGTTACTGGAACGTTAGAAATCAGTGGGGTAATAAAATAAGATTTCAATGAGTGGGTAAACCCATGATCAATGCAATGATGAAAAGCAACCAGAAATGCACCATACATTTTGCAAATCTCCTTCCTTGCACAGTTTATACAGGCTACAAGATTCAGCTCCTCTTGCTACACATTGATGATTATCTGGGGACAGAATGCTAATGTATATGTTATAGAGTGCACACAGCATTAGCTATCATAAACATCTTGTGCCAAAGAGCCACAGGTTTACCACATCAGAGCCTCAAAAGAGGTTTTTGCAAATAGTATTGCCTACTCTTGGGCCCCTGTCTCTGCTTTTCTTCACTGGTGTGTTCTGCCATTTTCTACATACCTCCAAGTAGCTTATGTGAGTACACACAAGGAGTATTCTGTTCTTATGTACATGTTTCCCACATTTGCTCACGTAGTATAATTTGTATTATTTATTTTTAATCATAAAGAAGCCTTAACAGTAATTGCTATCTAAAATTTGGCAATGGAAGGCTGCATGTTTTGGTTTTCCCTTGTGCTACACAAAAACAAAGACTTGATATCTTCTTGTTTGCTCTCCATTCTCTGAAGGCCTGCACAAGCATCTTATGAGGATGGGAAGTAAAGTCTGCTATGGTGCATGATTCAGGGCAGAAGGAGCTTTTGTGAACTAAATTGTGTCCAGGCATCTGTATCTATCTCCAGTACCCAACAGCAGTCTCACAACGTTGTCAGCCTTTAAGGTGATATGGGGGAGGTGACATTTGATGTGGTAAATGCTTGATTGCTATAAGAATGCCAAGCTCTTTTCAGTCTCTCATCTTTCCTCTTTTCAGTGCACTCATTTTCAGACTCAAAACAGAGCAGCTTTGCTAACATGTACAGTTCCATGAAAGCCAGTTGGCCTTCTTTGAACAGCTCTTGTTTTCTCCTTCTCAGTCACTAACATTTTCACACATTTCTATTTTGTGCATGTGTGTGAGGAATTTCTTCAGTCCTGAATGAGTGAAAGGACACTGGAGAGGGAAAAATCCCATCAGCACAAACAACGTTGTGCCAGAGATATGTCCCATTCACATAGAAGGCAAAAGCTCACATGTGCATATTGCGTCTGTGAGCAAAACCACTGCAGTTGACGTAGATTTGGTCCTCTGTTGTCCCAGATTCTGTGCTTGAATTTACTTTGATGCCGTTGCCTGTTTTTCCACTCTGGTGTGAGGATGAGGGAAAAGAAGAAAAAAAAAGAAGATGGCCATGAAGAACAACGATTCAGCAATGATGGCAATCACTCACCAAACAGAACAAGCCGAGGGTTGCTTTTAAGGCACGGACATTGCACTGGCATGTTGCATCTGTGTGTTTTGGAAACTGTTTTTTCAGATTCAAAGATGGAAAGGTTCATGAAGGACAGAATCCAGGAGAACCTTCCAACCTCCTTCCCCCAAGCCATAGTCTAGTTCACATGTGCCAAAATGAGAAAAGATGAACTAACAAGTTGCCTTTTGCCTGAACAGCACAAAAGTTACACTAAATACTCTTCAGTTCTTGCTCTGGAATTAATATACTTGATCATACCTGAGACAGTCAAACAGAATACCAGAAAAATTGAGATGTCACCAAACACACCTCTCATTTGGATGCTGTTTGGTACCATTTTCTTCTCCTGGATGCTACTTCTGAGTACTGTTATCCCTAGTTACATTCACTATCCTCTGTCTCATTTGCCCTCACCAGCAAGAAAAAAAAAGTTTCTGGAAAAGCATCATCACAACATGATGTTTGAAACAAGTCTTTGGAAATGTGTCAAAAGTAAGAGCATTTTAACTATCCTAAAGCATAACCTAACACGAAGGTGTGGTGGACAACCTGTGGTCTTCCAGAGGTTTTGGCCTACAGTTCTCATCAGCCCTAGCCAGCACAGCCACTGGTGGGGGATCATGGAAGTTGTAGGGCAAAACTTCTGGAAGGCCCCAGGTTTCCTACCTCTGGCCTAAACTCCATTCTATGCATTTATTCCTACAAGCTATTTGCATGTTTGTGAACATAAACTATCTGCATTGTCCTGGACCTTTGAAATGTGAAATGATAAGCAAGTTTCAGTAAAATGTATGTCTCAAATCCCAGGACTGAGTTATTAACAATAATTTCCTAGTGATACTCCAAATCACTGTACCCAAAAGATTCCCTGCATATCCTCCATCTGTCACTGTGCACAAATCAGCTGTGCTTAACAGAGATGCTCATTGTAACTAGCTGATCCCCCCTTTCCCCCACTGCTTGAAATGAAAAGGCTGAACAAAGAAAGCCAAATCCTCAGCCCTCCAGACTAATAGAGCTGTGCAGATATGCCCCAGCCAAGCATCAAAAGCTGAGCATTTATGCACATGGTAAAATGAATAAAACAGGATTAGCTAAGCCGAGGCTTTCCCCGGAGGGATGAAAACAACAATGTATGACATTCTGTCTGTGACCCACAAACACTGGAAAATTATGACTCCATGTTAGGATCATATTGGAGCAACACCTGGTCTGTGAACATCTTAAAGAAAATTACCTCTGATCAGTTTGAAGTCAATTTTTTAAAAACTGCTCCCTTTCAAAGTGCAGATCGTATTGTGAATCAGTTCAGCTGCCCGAAACACATTGGTTTGGTTTTTGTCATGCATCACTGTATTCTAAACAAGGTAGTCACTCACAGACTTTCCAGCCCAAAAGCTAGTAACGTAAAAGCTATTAAATCCTAGTAACTTGGCAGTTGCAGAAAAGATGATGGGCAATTGAATTCGACCCATTGCACATTAAAAACATTTCTCTCAAAAGGAAATTTTCTAAAGTGGCATGAGTTTACATTTATGCTTACCAGTGTTTTAGAAGCATAATAGGTTTTCATCTGCTTAAGTGCTTTCCTCTTCTTTCTGGTAACACACAAAGGGGGTGTTATTGTTAGTTATATTGTCCAGACCAAGATTTTGAGAATTTTGAAATATTAACATAAATCTGACAAGTCTGCGCAAAATCTAGGCAAAATCCACATTTTAAATATGTGCCTAATGATTCACAGAATCACAGAATACATGAGTCAGAAGGGGCCAAGAAGGCCATTGGGTCCAACCCCCTGCTATTGCAGGACACCAGTTACATCATCCTGATTCACTTACCTGCTAGCAGATGAAAGCTTTGAGTTCTGTTTTCATCTTTGCTAGCAGGACTGCCGTGGGAGGATGAGGCAAGCATCTCAGACAGCAGATGTGCGCTGAGGGAGCAGTAGTAACTTCCTACCTATTTGTGGTGGTAAGTGGAATGTGTATGAGCAGTGGCATACACAGCATCCCTTGTCTCAAGGAACCAAATATCTTGGCCTGAGCCAGCCTGCTTGCAGCTGTTTTCAGCCCACTAGCAATTGCCTCCTTCCTGAAAACCAGGGAATGATTTTTCCAGGCAGCAAATGGAAGGATAAGCCTCCCTCTTTCAGTTTCAGTGTTTCTATGCCAAATATGAACGAAGTCTGAACCTAGCAACCTCCAAGAAGTGAAAAGGGAATGCAAATATGAAGCACATACTTCTTGCTTACTACTACAGAATAATCTGCTTACATTCTGTAATGAAGAATCATCACAACAATGGCCAGGATTATTAGTAATAGCAACGCTGCAGATCCAGCGATGAAAAATATATGATGCTTATAATCGAAAGCAGCTAAAAAGAAAAGAAGGTAAATATTATCAGTATGACTCAAAAATGCAATTTTCCAATAAGTTTATTTCTTTATTGAATTTTCATCCTACTATTCCACCAAAAATATCACATAAGATGGCTAACAATTTTTTAAAAATATTAAGAATTAAACGCTAACCAAATATTGACACAACAATTAACGATATAGACAGCACTCAGGCAGTTAATATGCCCTGAGCCAATGCTCAAATATGTGTCAGTTTTGTGTGTGTAGGGGGGGGGTGTTGTGTGTGCATCTGTGTGTGTGTGTGTGTGTGTGTGTGTGTGTGTGTGTGTGTGAGAGAGAGAGAGAGAGAGAGAGAGAGAGAGAGAGAGAGAGAGAGAGAGAGAGATGCAGTTACACCCACAAATCGTATTTTTAATTTCTTGAATTTTTGTGTCCTTTTCAGCTCCACTTCCAATTTTAACTGGAATTGCTGAAACTCAAGTCAAGTAAAAACTAGTAAATGTTAGAAATTTCCAACAACTGTGAGACGATAATGAAGTAATTCAGTCACTTCACCTGGTCTAACAAATTGCAACATGGTAAGCTAGTATAATGAGCCTAAGCTGCAAAGAACTCCAAAATAGCATGACTCTGATGTCTAACTTGAAGAGCTTAGTTCTGGTTCAGTGGGTTACATCCCAAGACAATGTCAGGAAATCAGGCTAGAGACAATGGCTTACCTTAGACAATTAGCTGCCATTCTCTCTGGAATGCCAAACATGCAACCATGAAGTGCTTGTTCTAGAGGAACCATGAACAAGTCAATAGCTGGCAGTTGAGGCTATGTACACAACAGGACACTTGGTGGAACTGCAGTGGATTGGCCTTTCAGAAGATCTTTCTTGTTGTTGTGTGTCTGGGAAACCCTCTTAACCAGTTTCTCCCAATACCCAGAATGGTTATGTGGGATGCAAAACAGTACCTGGGGTTTCAACACAGTTAATAAATGCTGTTGCCACTGTAGGTGTTTTGTTGTGCAATATACCTTTAGAAAAAGAAAGAAGCTGCACTGCATCCTTTGTCTATGGTGAATGCTTATAATAGAAACTGTTGGGAGAATTTCTCCAGGTCACACTAATTGTCATTGTCCCTCCAATTTCTGTACCTACAAATATAGCAGAGAATTTCAAGAAAACACTTTTGCACACCTCTATAACTGAAATAAGTAAATTGTTGTGGTATGTGAGTAACTATAGCTCTGTGTTCTTCTGTGATCTCCCTATCCTACCCTACTCATTCTGAAGAGCCTCTCATTGACCTTAGAACTTTGCAGTATAGTACTTTGGCAATGAACAAAGTCACATTGAAGGCAAGGAGGGCAGTGTCCTTCAGAATATTAGTCCTCTATCACTGATAGGATTCAAAATATGCTCACCATCTCAGCCTCATTTGAACAGATTTTAGACAAAGAACACATCTCATGCCCACTCAGTATCCATAACACCCACAAAGGAAAAACAACCTCCTTGCCCAGATTGTCATGTTGGAAGAGAGCAAGATATTGAGCATTTTAGGACTTCATACTGAGGACAAATAATAAAGCCTGCACTTTTATTAAGAGATGGTATCTGAAGTCTGGTTCAAAATAGAAACTTCCACAGCCATCCACACCTTCATAAAGGTTAGCTTTTCTTCTTTTCAAAAATGACTAAGAGGAGACATGCTCTGAAATACTCTATCCTACACCTTATATGTAGAGATCACAATCTCTATGATTTAGGGAGGATAACACCACTGCCAAAAGGCCTTATCATAGTCATACTCAGAAAAGCTAGGTAAAGCAGATTATTAATGTTCACCTCCTGCAGTCTCAGAAATAAGGGCAAGGAACAGTGAACATTGATCTCCTCAAGGTCATGTTAGTGAATGCAGCATCTGAATGCTTTGCGGCCACAGCAGCTCAAATCACCCAATTCTGGGAGAAGGCAGCAGGATAGCGGTGCAAATGACTTGAGAGTTTCAAGGCTACCTAGTGAAGGTTCTCAGACAGAGTGCAAGAACCAACCCAGCTAGAAAAAGGAAGAAACTTTCAGAAGGCGGGGGAAGGAGATTGAGAAGGCATTCCTTCACCTTGTAAAGAGGTGACAAGCAAAGTGTGCAGAGCAGTTACGAACCCTCCAATGTTCCCACTGCCTGACCCTCAAGCAGCAGGAGTCTCTCTGGATGGTGGGGTCATCATCTTTTTCCAAAGGGAGGGAAGAAGGGACTGTTTCAGTTGGGATAAGGGTTTTCACATGGGCAGGTGCTTCTCACATCTCAAAGAGAATGCTACTTTGTTATTCTCTTTTATAACATGTTGAGCACCAGTGAATTAACAGTGCTTCTAAGGTCTCCTTTAAGTCTGTTGGAGAGGAAAACTAGGCAGGAAAAAACATGCTCATAGAAGAACAAAAGTCTCCGGGCACTCTCATAGTCTGGGTATTGACTGATGGCCCCCTTCCTCAAGTCTAGCTTAATTATCAACAGTAAAGTAATGCCTGTAACTTCCAAGAAACAAGATGTAAAAGTCAGAGACTCATGACTTGTCTCATATCTGCTGCATCTTTGGGACGGTGGGCAGGGAAGGAGGGGCGATAAGATGATAGAACATGAGACGTGTTTTGCAGCTTGGTTTTATTTCTGAATTCTCACGGAAAATGCAGTCATTTTATACTGCTGTTTCTTCTACACAGGATTCCAAAAATGTTGTGGGTGAATGGCTTCAACCTTCACTGACCTGACTTCAGGCCTCTGGTAGAAATGTTGACAGACTCGACAGTTACAACACACTAAAACCTAACAAGTGGTTATGCTTGTTATGTGCCTTGCTACAGAGAGGTTAACAGTGTTTCCTAAGTGTATAGACAGCATAGGAACAGGTGTGTGACAGTGAAAAACCACAGAGGAACATTCAAGACCAAGCAAAGGAGCTTTGGGCCCAAACAGAGGTCATAGTTCTGATGTGGTTTTCTCCCAGATGTTTGTTTTTCAATTAAAATATGCCACAAGAAGAGTTTTCAAACATTCTACCTTTTTTGCCTGGATTTCTGCTCTCTCCCATGCCTATCACTCAGTTGGAAGCACTCAGTGTTACATCAGACATCCAAGCATTATCTGCGGACCTGGAGAACATGCCACTTAATGTGGCACAACCTTAATGATAAGTGTTTTTGAAGAGCTTGTGTTCAAAATACAGAAATATATTTTTCTTCCTTTCAGGATAATCAACCTTACCAGCAATCTTTCATCAGCCACACTGAGAAATATACTTGTATGGTCCTTGAAGCCAAATCTAGATATTGCTAAATACAGTGCATTGCAGAAGCCTTGACCACCTGCATCCTTTGATTTTTCTACATTGTTTTGTGTTACACTCTAGAATTAAAATGTATTGAATTGGTATTGTAAGCTTGCAATTCCAGACTGTAATACAACAAAACATGGACAAGTTAAGGGGTGTGCGAATATTTTTGCAAAGCCAAATTGCCGGCTGAAATCCACAGTCTCCAAAGTAGCAGTTTCAGAAAAGACACATACTGTTCCATATAAAATAAAGCTGTGAGATTTGCTTCAAAAAGCTCCCCAAAATCCCCAGTTTCACATGTATGCTGTTTGGAGTCTGACTTCATTAATCTAGGTATAAAGGGCACAATTGGGACCTGGAAGGATGGAGACCAACAGTGGAATATGGTCATTTCCAAATACAAACTTCATAGGAAGTACAGGAAATGACATTAAATAGAGATGTCAGTCTGTGCATCAAAGAGTGCATAATGTCAAACAAATTTGAAACTTTAAAAGGTGTGGACCCTTAGGACCAATGTGGATGCTAATACCAGGTTCTGTAAGTAATTTTCTATTGAGGACACCTGTTATCCCTGTCTCCAAAATACTTTAAACTTCAGCTAGAAAATGAAATCAGGAAAATATCTAAAGGATGAAGTGTTGTAGTAAAGTGTGACCTCAATTACCCTTGCATTGCCTGGATAGAGGGCTGTTCCATCCAAAAAAAAGGTTAAATTTCTCAGTCTTCTAAATGACTCTACTTAGCACAGCTGGTCCTGGAACTGCCCAGGGGATTGAACTTGGACTTAAATCTAGGTGGTGCAGCCCAGGGTTAGGGTTAGGGTTAGGGTTAGGGTGAGATGTATCAGTGAACCAACTGGAGACCACAGTGCTAACAGGCTGAATTCATATGAAATCTGATGAAGTTGAATGGTTGGCAATTCAGGGCAAAGAAAATAATTTCTTCACATAGTACATCGCTAAATGATGGAATTTGCTGCCACAAGATATAGTGATGGCCACCGACTTGGACAGCTTTAGATAGGGATTATAGGCCATCAAAGGGAATTAGCCATGATGGTTAAATATTTTCTCCAGTATTAGAGACACTGTCCCTCTGTATGCAAGCTGCTGGGGAGAATGAGTGGAAGGTGCTGTTGTACTTGCATCCTGTTTGTGGTTTTAGCAGAGCCAGGGTGCTGGCCACTGTGTAAACAAAATGCTAAACTAGATAAGCTGATCTCCTTCCATTTTTAGCTGGGCTGCTTCCCTTCTTTCCCACTACTGGTGGAGAAGTGTACAGAAAATGTGAAAGGGAAATAAAAGGAGGGCATCGAGGAAGGAGGTGACATCAATGTAAACTAGGTGAAAGAACAGTGATAATTTTTCTGTTCACCTCTTCCAGGCAGTGAATAGAAGCCCAGTAAAAAAAAAACAAGATAAAATTACATACAGGCCTTTCAGAAAAGCCAGATTTCACATGAAATGAGACAGAACATAATGGATCCAAAACAAGGCTCAAGAGCCCTATGCATTCCTGAACAAAAGCTGTAACTTCGTGAGCATAGCTTTGCATATAGAAAGTCCCAGTTTCAATCTGTGGCATCTCCAAATAGTTAAAAGGATCTCAGGTATCAGAGCAAGATGGTGGTCTGACATCAGGTGGCATTACTGCCAGTTAGAATATACCATATCAGAATAGATGGACCAT